TTAGTCATATCTCAATGAAATGGTTTAAGTTTAGAGTAGCATCATGACTCAAAAGCAAAACCCTGACTCGAGAGGCTTCTAACTTCTCAACTCTGAGTGATTCTGCACAGGCTCCTGAATCTGGTCACGTTTCCTTGAGGGAGAACTAGATAAGACAAAGAGCATTTTCCCCAGGCTTGCCTTTTTCAGTGATCTGCGTAAGAGTTATTAGTAATAACTACTAACAAAATCAATATTGTGATAGTAACTAGAAGCTCGTCTTAAGATCTCCTTTGCCAACGAAATCAGCCTAACCCCTTCTTACATCCTCATCCTACAAACAAGGAAGAAACCTTCACGACAGACCCTACCTTTTAGGATCCATTGCCAACACCCACATTTTGGAAGTGACCCACTAAAACCATAGCCATGTTGGTTTGTTTTTTATTTTGTTTTGCAGATTCTTAGGACCTGGGCAAAGGACAGCCACATTCTTTGCTAAAATATGACAGGAATGTTCTCTAGCCCAGTGGGTAATATTGTTCCAAACTGAAAGTTCTTGAGCTGGGTCTTCATAGCCCACACTGCTCTCGGCACTACTGTCCTCTAAGCTCAGACAAGGATGACCCATTTAGCCCCATTACAGATTGCAACACTTTCCTAGTACAGAGTCCAAAAGTCTTCTATATTACTCCAATAAAATAATGCAGCCAGGTCTATCTGAGCAGTAGACCCTTCTCTAGTACCAACTTCTGCGTCAGTTACTTTTCTGTTGCTCTGCTAAAACACCGTGACCACAGCAACTTAGAAAGCATTTGATCTGAGGCTCATCAGTCCCAAGGGTTAGAGCCCAGGACCATCATGGTGGTGTGTGGTGATATTTTGTCTGTGTTATGTAACAGATAAAGCTTGTCTGCATATGGAATGAGCCACTAGTTAGCCAAAGAGGGCAAGCTGTCATGGCACACACTTTTAATCCTAGCACTCAGGAGACAGAGGCAGAGGGATCTCTGTGAGTTCATAGCCACCCCGGGCTATACTAGATTGATCAGTCCCAAAGAGAAAAAGAGCCAGGCAGTAGTGACTCACACCTTTAACCCTGGTACTTGGGAGTCACAAGCCTTTAACCCCAATAATAGGGAGGATACCAGAAAATGGAGAGATCTCCCTTGCTCTTGGATTGGGAGGATCAACATAGTAAAAATGGCAATTCTACCAAGAGCAATCTATAGATTCAATGCAATCCCCATCAAAATCCCATCAAACTTCTTCACAGACCTTGAGAGAATAATAATTAATTTTATATGGAAAAACAAAAAACCCAGGATAACCAAAACAATCTTATATAATAAAGGAACGTCGGGAGGTATAACCATCCCGGACTTCAAACTCTATTACACAACTACAGTATTGAAAACAGCTTGGTACTGGCATAAGAACAGAGAAGTCGACCTATGGAATAGAATAGAAGACCCAGATATTAACCCACAAACCTATGAACACTTGATTTTCGACAAGGGGGCTAAAGGTATGCAATGGAAGAAGGAAAGCATCTTTAACAAATGGTGCTGGCATAACTGGATGTCAACCTGTAGAAGAATGAAAGTAGATCCATATCTATCACCATGCACAAAAATCAAGTCCAAATGGATTAAAGACCTCAACATTAATCTGACCACTTTGAACCAGATAGAAGAGAAAGCGGGAAGTAGTCTACAAGACATAGGCACAGGAGACCACTTCCTAGATAGAACCCCAGTAGCACAGACAATAAGAGAATCAATGAATAAATGGGACCTCCTGAAACTGAGAAGCTTTTGTAAAGCAAAGGACACTGTCAGTAAGACAAAAAGGCTGCCTTCTGACTGGGAGAAGATCTTCACCAACCCCTCATCAGACAAAGGTCTGATCTCCAAAATATACAAAGAACTCAAGAAACTAGACAATAAAACTCTAATTAACCCAATTAAAAAATGGGGTGCTGATCTGAACAGAGAATTCTCAACAGAAGAACTCCGAATGGCCAAAAGACACTTAAGGTCATACTCAACATCCTTAGCGATCAGGGAAATGCAAATCAAAACAACTATGAGATACCATTTTACACCGGTCAGATTAGCTAAAGTCAAAAACACCAATGCACCAATGATAGCCTATGCTGGAGAGGATGTGGAGAGAGGGGAACTCTCATCCATTGTTGGTGGGAATGCAAACTTGTGCAGCCACTATGGAAATCAGTGTGGCGGTTTCTCAGGAAACTGGGAATCAACCTCCCTCAAGACCCAGCAATTCCACTCTTGGGAATATACCCAAGAGATGCCCTATCATACCACAAAAGCATTTGTTCAACTATGTTCATAGCAGCACTATTTGTAATAGCCAGAACCTGGAAACAACCTAGGTGCCTCTCAATAGAAGAATGGTTAAAGAAGGTGTGGAACATATATACACTAGAGTTTTACTCAGCGGTAAAAAACAATGACATCTTGAATTTTGCATGCAAATGGATGGACATAGAAAACACTTTACTGAGTGAGGTAAGCCAGACCCAAAAAGAGGAATATGGTATGTATTCACTCATAAGTGGATTCTAGCCATAATTAAAGGTCTTTGAGCCTATTATTCGAGATCCTAGAGAAGCTAAATAAGAAGGTGAACCTGAAGAAAATCATGTGCTTATCCTCCTGGAGATTGGAAATAGACAAGAGTCCCAGGTAACCTCGGGTGCATGGCGGGGGGTGGGAGGGTTGTTGGAAGGGGAGAGGGTTAGAGAGAAGGGAGTAGGGGAGGAATGGGGGAAACTCGGGGGACTGAGATGGGGGGAGGGAGGAAGGATGGATATGGGATCAGGGAAGAATATATCTCAACTAAGGGAGTCATTTTAGGGTTTACAAGAGACTTGATTATAAATGGGATCCCAGGTCCAAGGAGTGATCCCCAGATTGTTCTCTGGACAGAGGAGAAGGTGCCTGAACCGGCCTTGGCCTATAACCATACTGATAAATATTTTGCTTATTACCATAGAACCTTCATCTGGCGATGGATGGAGATAGAGACAGAGACCCACATTGGAACACTGGACTTAACTCCCTAGGTCCAAACGAGAAGCAGAAGGAAAGAGAACGTGAGCAAAGAAGGCAAGACCAGAGGGAACCTTCATCGGACGATGGATGGCGATACAGACGGAGACCCACATTGGAGCACCGGACTGAGCCCCCCATGGTTTAAATGAGGAGCAGAAGGAGGAAGAACATGAAAAAGGGACTCAGGACCGCGAGGGGTGCGATCACCCACTGATACAAGGGGACTGATCTAATGAGAGTTCACCAAGGCCAGTTGGACTGGGACTGAACGAGCACGTGATCCGACCAGATTCTCTGAATGTGGTCGGATTCTCTGAATGTGGCTGGCCCGGAGTCTTTCTGAAAAGCCATTGACAATGACACTGGGACTTGTTTCCTCTGCATATACTGGATTTTGGGGATCCAGTCTGTTTGGATACTCACCTTCCTGGACCTGGAGGGAGGGGGGAGGAACTTGAACTTCCCACAGGGCAGGAAGCCCTGACTGCTCTTAGGGATGGAGAGGGAGGAGGAGGGGGAGTGGGGGGAGTGGGAGGGTGTTGGGAGGAGGGGCAGAAATGGAAACTTTCATAATTTAATAAACTTTGAGAAAAAAAAAGAATTAATGCTAAACCAAGGAATTCTAAGAGTGGGAGAAATTCTCCAGGGAATGGCACCCCAGTTGGTTATATAACACCAAATGGTCAGTCCTGGAGAAGAGCATACAAGTAACATTATGCAGACTAAGCAGGTTATATTTATGTATTTGTGGATAAGCATGTATTTATATATACATGTACTTATGTAACAAAAATTAATGAAAAAGGAGGCCATAAACTTGAGAGATGCAGAGAAGATTGGTTACATGAACAATTAGGATGGAGGAAATTATGTAATTATAATCTCAAAAATTAAAAATATTTTTAAAATAAAAATAATACTAGCAAAGGAATCGATCTAGAAGTTAGCAAACTTGAGCCTCTTGAAGAAATGATGATATATAAAAAAATCATAAAACTTGGTGTGGTCTGTTTCTTAAACATTTGGGGATTGGTGATGAAGGGGAAATACAGTTTTTGAGAATATTACCCTTAGATCTCTAAAAGACAGAAACCATTCAAACATCTTTGCAATGATACTGTTTTGTTTTGTTTCATTCCTTTTTGTATATAAGTGGTCCTGTAGGTCAGAGCTGGGACCACACACACAGAGCAAGCCTTCTCCAGAGCTCTAACCCCAGTCCCTTCAAAATCATTAAGCACACACTAGAGGTGCTGACTCATGCTTCCCCAGCTAACATCTAGCCAAAACTTACAGGGGTGACTCTGCTCCTTGGGTATGTGCATTTATTTGTTTTTCTCCTTACATAGAATGCATCTTGCTACAATACCTAGTCGAGTCTTAAACTCCTAGACCCAAATGGCATTGCCACCTTAGCTTCCCTGTGGATGTGGGTCTCCACAGATGGTTTTCGATAGCATTTAGAGAATCCATGTGGAACCCAAGGACCATGAGAATAAAGTCAGGGAATGATCCAGAATTTCCCAGGGCTCTCTTTCTGGATCTCTTACATGCCCTCACACACCACAGGATCCTGAATGTCAAAGAAGGATGATTTCTTGCCTGTGAAGGGCAGTCTCTGTTTCCAGAACTGTCTCTTTCCCACAGCTGGAAAAATCCACATAACGGAACGGACAGACTAATCCAAAGTCAGGCTGTTTCACAGAGATTTCTATTTACTCTATACAAAGTCACGTGTCTAATACAGACCGTAAGTGAGCATGAGTTTTGTTCATCCTTGACCGCTCCATTGCTTTCCTGGCTCACAACATTCAACTTTTCCCTGAACGCTCTGACTGACCTAACAGGAACTAAAGCATAAAACAGGCATTTTCCCTTTACAGGAAGAAGATTTGACCTCAAGACTTGACTCTGGAAGACACCAAGGCACATACTCACCTGCATCTGGGATATAGTTAAAGGGTATCGGAATAATATCCAGGTAACACCTTCGCTGCAAGGCGGGATGGTAAGAGAGCCTTCGTAGACCCAGTAGTCCCGCAGAAGAGGGTCTGTGCAAACAGACGGACAAGTTAGAAAGGGCAAGTTGATGGACTTAAGACGCCAGCAATGAATTCCAAGATGGCAGTCTGTCGCTTCTCAGGTGGAGGCCATTTTCAAGATAGAGCCTCACATACAGACTCTTAAACTACCATTTGGGAAGACAATAATCAATGAAAAACATTATTAATTCTCTGTATATTTACAGAAATTTCTACCAGTGGCACACTAGACATATCTATCAAGCTTAATATAGTAAGGATCTTTTATACTAGTTGATTCGCAGCTGATACCTATTGAACTATGTGTCAAGTACTATCTAGAGGAGTATAAATCAATTTATTGATTCTTCACAGCAAAGAAATGAGACGCATTAGCCCTATTTTATAGAGGGAAACTGAGTTACAGAATGTTAGTAATTTGTCCAAGATAATACAAAACGGGCAGAGGATTTGAACCCAAGCAGTCTGCTTTCAAAGGCCGTGTTTTTAAACATCCTGCTCAGGCCATCTCTATATTGCATGGTACTAAAATCCTAATGTGATAAGAAAAAAGCAAGTCACGGATCTGAACTCCTTGGCACTGCCTAAGAGGAATTCAGGATTAACTAGACCAAAGTACGTATTCAATCCAGGGAAACTAGCTTATGATAGAGCAGGTAAGAAAAGGAAAACGATACAACGTACCAATCAATTTGGTTTTCTTTGAAACACTATGGAACAGCACACAATATAAACAGAGAAATGTGGAGACCAAATTTTTATATAAAAAAACCTTAAACTCCAAGTTATATCCAGAGTGTTTTGTGTGTAATTATTACCTATGCATAAATACGATTAGAGTATTTAAATCACGATGCTGTAAGGAAAGGACCTTATAAAATTAGATAGAACGCTGACTTCATTCTGGTAGCCTGGCAGTCTTAGAGTCAGTCATTTGATGGCTGCGGGTTCTTTACACTGAGGTGGCAACTTCACACTTTACAAATGATGTCACTGAGAATGTTCTCTCCGGAATAAGGAAGCTGTGGCGAGGGTTTCCTAACATTCAAAAGGTTTCCTGCCTTATCAGCAGCGATCTGAAACTACACCTGCTAAAGAGAACAGAAACTACAAAGCTGCCTTACTAACTAATAATGTGCGGTTTATTAACTAATGATGTGTGGTCATGGACACGCTAAGATAAGCCGTGTGCAGTGACACGGCTGAAGGACATTTCAGGCCACTGGAGTCAGGCTTACCTGGTAATAAAGTGTTGGGATTGAAGCAGGGTATTGTTTTGGATTTTCCCTGAAAAAGGAAAAGCAATTCAGGACATGTTAATGCAAAAGGTATAAAATTTTGAGTAAAAATTATTAAAACTAAAGAGCTATACTAAAGTCTTTCGTGATGAGCTCAACATGTCCCAAAATTAGTGCGTAGCCACTTTTCCCACTGGAGTGAGATCGGTTGGCTCCAATAAAACAAACCTGCTCTGAGTCGATGGCTGTTTGCTTCTGAATTTAAATTTCTCTTATAATACCTGGTGTAGCTTGTACAGCTGGTGCCTACCAGACCCACAGAAACATTTTTACTAAAACACATGCCATAGGAAAAGTTGGCAGAGAAAGCGTGCTCCTCACCTCTGAGTCTCAGCAGGGCCAGGCTTCTCAAAGCCTCCACACCCTAACTTCAGGACAAGTCATTGGCTGCCTTCTGGAGATGGCCTCTGAACCTTTGGAGTATCCCTGCCCTTGATAAGATGCTTTCATATACCTGACACCTTGGGCCATGCCATATTTAAGGAGAATTCTTGTGGTTTTCAACCTGGCCCTTGAAGGCTGCTACACTAGTGTGAGCCAGTGTGTGTAGCCCAGAAGTGGATGGATGCCTTGTTTGGCTCAGTGAGAGAAATGACAGCAGGGTTGAAGATGCCAGGCGAAATTAATGAGGCAATTCACGCTTAAATGACCAGTCCCTGACATCAAGGGCCTTGAGAGCTCCCCTAGTTCACATTATGCTGGGATTACTGGGGGCCCAGAAGGAACATCAGTAAGATTGCTCCAGGTCCCCCTAGACTTCAGCCCATGTCCCTTTCCCAGTGCCACACTGTAATAAACCACAATTGTTAACTCTAGCATCTATTCAGAGTCCCATATGTCCCTTCTAGAGATTTATCAAGCCTAGAGACGGCTGCTGGGAACTCACATAGAACTTCTTCTAATTAATGGTTTACCTTATACTGGATGTCCTGGAGTATCTCAGTCACAGCCTTCAAGCCAACATGCTCCTTCCCTATCTGAAATACATAAAGCACAAACCACAGACAACACATTTTTGAATGCTTAGCTTTTATTCAAAATAACTACCAGACACAAGGCTCCACTCTACCTGAATGGCCTTCTTGGGAATGAGTGGCCTTTCTGTTAATAGTCAGGTCAATAACTAAAGGTAACTGAAGTTTTAAAAGCCTGTGCAACGTCACCTTGCTACAGATATTTATTGCTGGTGTCATATGCAAATATAAAAGCATAAAAGGTTGCTATAGAAAAATGCCATAAGTAACTCCAAACTAAAGTGATGCAAAAGGCGTCTAAACTCTTGCCTGGTTTTTGTTTGTTTCTTTGTTTGTTTGAAGACAGGCTCTCTCTAACTAACCCTGGCTTGAAATCTGGTATGTAGGTCAGGCTAGCCTCAGACATTAGCCTGCTTCTGCCTCTGCCTCCTGGGTGCTAGGATTAAAGACAGGCACCAGCATGCCCAGACTTTTCATTTCTATTTATTTGCATATTTTGCCTTGTATTCTTGCCTTTGACATTTAGAGAGTTAGGTCATAAATATTTCACCAAAGTTGAAAATTTTCATTAACTCAGAAGTGGATATGATGCTTCATATGTCAAAGTTATCAAAATTAAAACATCTCTTGACTACTGGTGCTCACTATTCAATAACTTCTTCATTCTTAGTAAACTAAGACTTTTTCAAAGATTTCTACTTTAAATATATATTTATGTATATATATTTATACATTTGTATACTGTATAATAGATAATTGCATTTTATACATTATAATTATTGATTGATGTATAGCTAAATATTAAATATATGGTATAATTATATATTTTATGTGTGTTGTATATGATTATATATAATATATATGTACTATATATATTTAAAATAATGCTACAAAAACTGATACTTGAAATATGTTTTCTGACACTTAGTATCTTCTTTGTAAATGTTTGGTGCCACCTGATTTTGAACTGCTTCCAGTGGACCGTAACAATGGAGAGGATGAGCAGACATTATCTCAGCTAGACAGGCACTGGCACACTAGGCTTTTCCTATGTGCACACGTCTGCAGAATGACCTGTAGGAGCTAGTGTAGCTATCAACACACACACCTTTGTTTCCCCCAATGTTGACGGTGAGATGTGCAGGAGAAAGAAAGAATGGACCTAAGAATGACCCATCAGCTCAATGTCATAAAAAGAAAAAAACAATTCCTGAGACAGGCTCTAAAAACAGAAAATAAAATTTCTAAGGTTTAAAGAGCATTCTTTGTGATTCTATGCATGAACGCAAAAGCTAATATCTCAACCAGAAACCTTCCTTGGCCTTGAGGAGAAGTGAACCTCCTCACTCTCAATGGTTTCACCTGGAGGTAGCTCTTGCAGCCATGACTGAGTGGTCTGATCAGTTTTCCCTTCCTGAACCTCCTGTCAGACCTAAGCACTGAGGAGTCCACACCAGAACAGTGGAAAGCAGCACAGCACAGTGGTCCAGCCGTGAGCTCTCCCTCTGCCCTGACCGGCTCAGCTCCTGGTCCTGATGCTGCCACATTTAGCTCCTGAAATGACTGGTTTCCTTAACCTCTTTTCCTCCTTCCTATCATTTTGAAATTTTCAACTCCAAGAAGCCACTCTTTCTGACCAAGCTTTTATACCTACCCAGCCTTCGGTCCTCTGTTCTCTTCTTCCAGTGGCTGTTAACAGCCAACACACTCAGCCCCTTGATTCATCCCTTTCTCATTAAATTGAACGACATCTTTTGGACCACTCCCCGGTCTTTCATCCCTTTATCCCCGTAATCACCCGCTCTTCAGTTGATCATCACGACAATTTGCTAGAATGTCCTTTGCTCCTGTGTAGATCGAGAATAATCCCAGAGGCGCTGTCCCACCTAATCCAGGTCATCCAGTCTTGGGTGGGTTTGTCTCATAGGCTATTATCTCTCTCGCCTGGCTGTTTCAAAGACAAACCCTGCACTCGAGTCCCTGTTACTCTATTACACGCTTTACAAGTCTCGAAAGGATGAAGGGCACCAAACATGAGGATCCCCAACTTCCCGCCTCTCTCTACCTGAGAGAGTAGCTGCTGTGTACGAGGCTTTATAGCAAAGAAGCCGAGGGAGAGGTCCTCTGCACCACACGGGCCTTCTCCTCGTAGATGCTTCTGCATTAATCATCCAGTCTCCTTTCTGTATTTTCAGACTGCACTAGCTCATCATGGCGAGAGCAAAGCACCAGACCTCAGATCTCAAAACCTGCCACCGGCTTTTGCTCCTTTAGCCCTTCCCTGTCCGAGCCAAGCTTTTAGAATCAAATCAGCAAGCGGCACCCCACTTCCTCCTCTGGTGTCCATGGCTGAGGCCTGGGCTCCAGCCTGGGGTACAGAGATTCCTTTATTCCCTGCTTTGTCCAACGCTCCTCAGCTGCTCCGTACTCGGTGGGAGTTCACTCTCACAGGTTGGGTAACTCTTTCCTGAGAAAATCATTTTTGCACAGCCACCTGCATCTTTCCTCACAGCAACGGATGGAGGTGAGAACATCTGTGTGTGTTCTGGAGCTTTCCATGGTCACAAGCTTGTTCCAGTGACTAGTCCCAGGAGGCCATGTTTGCAACTCAGGCCCCCGTAGTCCTCAGACCACTACACATGGAGGGTCCAACTGTGGGAACGTTAAATGATCATACCTAATTCCATTCACAAACCCACTGTGTACCAAGTCTGCAAGTGAAGATCCCCTGTTCCCATCTCCCCACACACGATGACTTGTTTGTATTCATTATTCTTATATTTCATTATTATTAAATATAATTTTATTATTAAGAATGTATATTATTCTTATATATTATTCTTACATCTAAATGACGGCACAAAGCCTTCCACTGCCTCAACTCTGCCTGCTTGATGCTCCACTCACATTTCCAGGTTACAAAAAAGAGAGAGGCCTTTTTAAAGTTAATTCTTCAATACACTGAAATTAAAAACTTTCTGCCAATAATTTGTGATTCCTTTCTGCCTATATAAGCATTGCAAAGCTAAACGAGTGTAGATTTGTGCCCACGTAAACTTGAAGTAGCGAGCGGGAAGAGAATTCAATTTAAGTTGCAAGGGTTTATTTTAATTCAGCCCACGGGCCTCGAATGTTCTTCTTCTGAGACCCAAGAAATTGTTAAGATTTCCAAGGACCAAGTTTCTACTTTACAGCTCAGGGGTTCCATTGTCTGCGTCTGCTAAACCATGGAACAGTTCAGTCATCACAGAGCTTGATGCCCAGCTTAGACTGGTTAAGTCTGCCATGGCCTTTGCCAGTCTTATTTTAGCACTGCTTTCTACAAAGCATTTCAAAACATCTTTGAGCAAAACTTATTAACAAAAAGACAAGGTGATTATATTATTACTTTTTTCTTAAATTTTTTTTAGAAAGCCTGGATAAAAAAAAAAGAATTCTGAATTCTTTTTTTCCTAAATAAAATGAAGTCTGACTTCAGAAGACATTTTCTAACTTGTTTCTCCAAAGGCCCCAAATACCATTCTGAAGAAAATATCTAACAAATAAGTGAGGTGTTTTATACAAGAAAATCTTATGAAGGGTTAAAGTATCAGTGTTTGTGTTCCATTTGACCTCCAAGTAATAATATTGTGAATTTAAATAATTTGACCAAATGACTTCGAGGAAGCATCTCTGAGCCATGTGCCCTCCGCATTTACCTGAACAAACAGAGCGATGATGGCGATGCCGTGAGGCTTCCCAACTGCCTCGTCGATGCTGCCGAACAGCGTGGAATTCCAGTGGATCAGATGGAGCTGAGAAGAGAACACAGCGTCACTTAGCATCCTCCTCGGACAACCAGGCCCTTGGAATCTCCATGGTGTCCAGTATAAAAGAACCACAGTCAGTCCTAAACAGACTACTGTCCCAAGCAAAGTTCTCTGTAAGAGTCCTCCCTCCTTCTATCCGGCTCAGGGAGACTCAAAGTTCCACACCTGATGAGCTGTCGTTCTCCAAATCCAGGCTGTGAATGGCAAGGGAGCAAAACCACAGGTCTAGACAAACGGTTGCTCATTAGAAGGATGGAGGCAGGGAGGAGAGGTAGCGAGATTAAGACCCTAAGTGTAAATCCTAGCACCAACAGAGAGGGGAGATTAGATTATGACCTGTATATAAGAAAAAAAAGCCATTCTCAAAATCTGGCAGATAATTTCAATTACCTGAGAATATTCAGAAACAACAAACTGTTGAGGGGAGGGGAATGTATTTTTAGAAAAAGACCATTTCTTCGACAACAGATACAATCTTATCTGTGAGGCAGTGGCAAACCATGCCTGTGTGGCTTCCAGGCCTCTCCAGAATATCCATAGACACTGTAAGCAGCCAAACTGGGTCCCCCATGTGACCTCCACATGCACCCCACCCCCACCCCTCACACCTTCCACCCGCACAAAAGAAATAAAGGAAAATTCAAACCCTTTCTCATTTAAAAATCAGTTTCCCACCAAATATAAAAGCACACCTAAAAGTTGATCACTATGCATTTTAACATTTAAAAACTTGCCCCAAAAGACTACCTTAAGGATTGCCCAAAATTTTTTCACCTGTTGAATTTGTCTACAAGCTTTTAGCTTAGTGTCTTTTTGGGTCCCCTGACTGTGAGAATGAGCAGGTCTCTGGTCCTTGGGCCTGCTCTTGGGACTCTTTTCCTCCCGCTGGGTTGCCGTGTTCAACTTCAGAGTAACAGGCTTTGCTTTATCTTATCCTATTTTATTTTGTCATCTTGGTTGTTATGTCTTAGAAATCTGTTCTTTTTTCATAACAGACAGAAAGGAGTGGATCCAGAGGGCAGGGGAGGTGTGGAGCAACTGAGAGGAGTAGAGGGAGGGGAAACTATAATAATGATAGATTGTATATGAAAAGAATCTATTTTCAATAAATGAAAATAAATAAAACTGACCACTAGAGGGAGGCAGCAGAATCAGTATTGGAATCAGCAACTTGAGGCCAGGCTGCGAAGACACACCAGGATTGTAACAAACAGTCCAGTGTGAACGATTCTCAATTAACAACATAATGAATCATTCTAAGCTTTCTTCTGTGGCTGCAACAATGGCTGTCAAAAGCAGCCCCGTGGTACAGATAAGAGGCCGTGGCTCCTGTTCGATTGATGAAGCTCCGAGCCCTCCCTCCAGCTGAAGGAAATCTTTATCCATCATGTCACAGAATTTAAAGGACGTCTTCTTCTCATAAGATACTACGGGAACTTTTTCCAAAAATAAAACATTCATCCCCTTTTTAAAAGCATGACTTTTTGTTTTCTGCCTGTTTGGGGGTGTAACGTCTACTTTGGCTTGCTGCTCTTCCCAGCTCAGTCGGAGTTATCACTTGCACCTGCCCTTCAGAGGACCCTTCACATTCTTCTAAGCACAGTAATAGCCTTAGGGGCCACTCTGTGCACAGTGCATGGTGACGGTTGCAAAAAGAGTCCTGCACACAGAGGGGCAGAGAGGGGCCTGCTAGTAAAGGAGCCTAACAATCCCCGGCCACGCTGACGGTAGGTGTCTTGATATGTAGTGAAGATGGCATGCGACTTTGTGTTCTCCCTCCCAATAACCCTTAACTACAACGTAATCCTGATAAAAACCCTCAGGCAAAACATCTGGCCAGGGTATCTCAGAACAGTCGAGACCATCAAGAAGAATGGAAGAACATGGCACGGGCGAGAGGAGGCAAAGACCACCAGAGCAGAGTAATAAGGTATTGCAAATGGGAGCCTGAGACATAAGGAAATTCCATAAAAATTAAGGGAAACTGAATAAAATACAGACTCCCTAAAGGATCAGTGATAGCCTAATAATTCTAATAAATGAATGTTGATAGGAGAAAATCACGATGGGTCACATAGAAAACTTTTATATTACCTTCACAATTTCTCTGCAAATCTCAAACTGTTGTGGTAATGGCGATTCTTCTTTCCCTTGAAGGAACATAAGGGAGACACTAGCATTTCGGCCCTCCCAACATAAAAAAATGGGCAGCATCTGTCTGTGGTCCCCACATGGCTACCACAATAAAACAAAAGCAACAAGAGAATCTCTACAACCTATTCTCCTTGGTCCACCTGGGTCTCCACCCATCGTCAAATATACTCATAACCATATGCACTGGAATTGGTAGGGTACACGATTCTGTTCATAACCTTGCCTGTCTAATTCACCTGAGATAAGCAAGTTTGACCTAGCTGCAACCACTGAGTTCCAACCACTATGCCTGCCCTGAGTAGCCACCATTTTCCTGCATCATTATTTCCAGCTTATTGGCATATGATTCAATGACCAGACCCTGGCACTGCCACCACCAGGAAGGTGCCCGATAGCTTTACTGCCACTTGACATAAACCAAGTAACCACAAGGAAGAAGTCAGCGTCTGTGACCACTGTCTAGGTCCCCTCCCTCTTGCCAGAGTGTAATGCAATTTTAATGACTCTTATTAAATAAAAACGTGGAGTCAAATATTTGGGTGATGAAAGCTGGATGATCAGAGAAGGAGAACAGTCAGCCATTAGAGTTCTTACTTCTCCAAATGCTCAGACCAAATAGACAAGATCCAGTCTCTACAAATCCTCAGACTGAGTGCGCCCAGCTCCTGTCTCCTCTTGCCTTACATTCCTCTCTCCCCCCAGCCATATCCCTTCCTGTCTCCACCTCCTTAGAGCTGGGATTAAAGACATGTAACTCCCAAGTACTGGGATTAAAGGTGTGAGCCATCACCGTCTGGCTCTGTTTCTCTTTTAGACTGGATCAATCTTGTGTAGCCCAGGGTGATCTTGAACTCACAGAGATCCGTCTGCCTCTGTCTCCTGAGTGTGCTGGGATCAAAGATGTATGACACCACCACCTGACCTCTATGACTAAGTAGTCACTTAGCTCTGCTCTCTGATCTTCAGGCAAGTTTTAATTGTTAGATGGCAAACAAAATATCACCACATTAATCACAAGCCATGGGGATCCACCAGTTTGTCGCCCACTTTTGGTCACACTTCCATCTCTGAGTCCTCGTGGTACTTTATTATACTCTAGCTGCCTGAATCTTCAGCCTCCAGGCTTCTTCCGCCTCTGGCAGCCAGGTTTTCTCATGGGATTTTCCCAGAACACTCGCCTTTCCTGTCTTGCAATCACAGAGCAGTCTGTTTGCATCTCAAACACTTGATTTATTCCAATTATGTCTGCTCTCCCCAGCCCTTCCTTTATTCCTACTGTTTTCGCAGTTCTTCCTTAGAAGAGTGTTGGTTCGGTTCCTTAAACCAAAGCCACAGATAGAGGACAATCATCAAGACATACAAAGAAACTAGAATAAAAATGTGGGAACCTAAGTTTGGCAATGAGACGAGGGGCTGGAAGGAAAGGGGGTCAGATGGCGAGGAGCTTTAGATTTTGTCATGGGTTCTAATGTGGAAACACCAAGCTAGCATATGATTACATTGGTAACATAATGCCACTTAGAAGCAATCAAATTTTCCCAACAACCTCTTTCCTTCTAGGGCCTTTCTGATAGTAGGGAGAATGTACCAGAGGCTGGAATACAAGCAAGGTGCGGCCACGGGAGCTACAGTGGAAAAACTGCAATAGGGCTATCTGCTGGTAGCTTGGGGTGGGACGAGAAGTAGAGCGTGAGCCAAGGCTTTGCTATGTAAGCCAGGCTAGCATAGTACTTACTGCAGAGCCCAGGCTAGCCTCAAGTTCACCGCAACTCTCCCTCCTCAGCCTCCAGGCTGAGATTACAGCAGGCATGCACTACCATGCCCAGCTTTTGGTATAGTTACTTTTATGAGTTAGGTTGTTATAGAGCTAAGATATAGAGCTCAGTTTGGCCAAACACCAGTCCAAAGGCTAATGGGAAGGTGTTTGGTAGCTCTGATTACTATTTAAACAAACAGACATTGAGAAAACCTAGTTACCCTCCACAGTGTTGGTGAGCCTTATCCACTGAATTGAATGCCTTGAGACCAAATACCTAAGTCCCTAAAAAGAAAAGAATCCTGCCTCCAGGACAAGACAAAGTCCCTAAATCAGTTTCTCACTAAACCTCCAACTACAATGCCAATTTCTGTAAGAAATTTCCTACCTCCAACCTGCCCTGGGGATTTGCGTCTCACCATCCCTCAGTCACAGAGACCAACTCCAAAGTTTAAAATGCCTGCTGTCTCCCTCCTTTCTTCTCTCTTCTTCCTCCCTTCTCCTTCCCTCTACCCTTCCTTACTCCTTCGTTTGCCTGAAGGAAAGAGAGGAATACAGGTTGTACAAGCCAAAGAAGAGTAGAGACCAGCGGGGATCTCATCTGAAGGCTAGCGGCAGGAGGATGAGGAGAAGGCCTGGTGCCTAAATGAGCATCATAGCAAATCTAGGACTGAACAGGATGGGGGAGGGGCAAGCAGAGCGCCCACGGTAGACCGCATCCTCAGTTCTGCTGCTACTGGTTTCTATCACACGCCTCTTCAGTCCGTTTCTGCTACACACCCCAGAATGCACAATGCACACAGTACTCTTTCTCATCATGGTATCTTTTCCATATTTACCTGTAGTCAAAAAAAAAAATCTGAGCAGAAATTATTACCACAGTCATTGTTATAATTTAACTCTTTAATTGTTAGTTACTGGTACTCTGTACTGTGTCTAATTCATAAATCCCTCTATCATTGGTATTTATGTGTATTGAAAAACAGTTCATACACGTGGGGTTAGAAAGATCCAGTTTCAGTCATCTACTAGAGGTCTTTGAACCAACACCCCCAGATAAGGAGAGGAGACTTCG